ATTCGAAATGCCAATATTAAGCTTATTCGGTTTGAAAGCGTACCTAGGACTTGAAATTATGTTTTCCATTCATAAAAAATGCCATATTTAATTGGATAAAGTGTCAAAAATGTTTTGTTTTCAAACGAAATGATGAAATTCCAACAATATAAACGCCAACACAATGAATTCATCAGCTGTTATTTTCCATTGTTTGCCCGTACAAAAATATTGTAAGGGCAAATAAATGTTTGACCAAAAATAATGTAAATATTTCCTAGTCGGCGTTCACATTGTGGACACTTTAAGCAAAATTTTGTTTACTGTCAAATAATTTTGTTTGCCCAAAATCAGCTGTTTTTGTGTTTGCCATTGAAAATATTTTGTGGTCAGATTATGGCAAAGAAATATTTGACACTTTTCGTCATATATTTGCCGAGTGTGACCTTACCTTAAGTCATATTTCCAACTCGATTTTGAAAAGAAAACCAGATATTCCATTCATTTTTTTCCGTTTTTGTAAAATTTTAAAAATATCTGAAATGAATAGAACGACTTGTTGCATTTGTTTTTATTGATTTTGGCATTATAAGCCATAACGTAGAAGTATATTTTTTCTTTGTTGACTAAAGATATCCTACCTTGTATAATTGTACCATGCATCGTCCATCGTTGTTTCTATAAAAGCTAATGGTAGGGTCACACTATGCAAATATTTGACTCCAAAAACGTCAAATTTGTGCACTCTTGAATTTGTGTTCACATTACACTCAAATACTTGACACATTTACAGATGGCAAATAGCGTCAAATAACGTAATAGGAAAACATGTTTATTTGCGCCAAAAAGAGTTTGATCTAACTGTCAGAAAACACAAATTAATTTGCCTGAAAATATGAGAGAAGTTTTGGCCAACTTCGAATTCCTGTTGTTTATTCCATGGAGCATTTTCAGAATATTGTTGTTTTTTCTGTTAAAAAAATTATGTTTTGTGCGAGGAGATGTTCGATCAATCGATAACCCGAAATGGCAAACTGCCTTCAATTTTGGGGAAATGAGGCTAGAAATCTGTCTCTCAGGAAGTAGTTTATGCATTGGGGCATGGAAATGTTGACTATCAGAATGGAAACTGGGATAGGAAATTACCGGTACCAAAACACAGTTCATATTAAAAATTTAAGTTTTTTATTCACCAGGGATCCGAAATTCCATATCATATGAATCCGATATTGTTTGAAAAACACTGTAGAAAATCCAAATTAGATGAAATTCGGTGGAAAATGTTGTCTTTGTATAATCCTATTGCAATACAAAACATCCCAGGAGAGTAGAAATGAGTGTATACAGAACAACAAAATTTAATCGGAATAACAAAATGTACATCAATTTAAAACCCCATTTAACGCATGAATCAGCTGTTATTTTCCTTTGTTTGCTCTTACAAAAATATTATAAGGGCAAATAAGTGTTTGCTCAAAAATAAGGCAAATATTTGCTAGTCGGCGTTCACATTGTGGGCAAATCACTCAAAATTTTCTTTGCTGTCTAATAATTTGTTTGCTCAAAATCAGCTGTTTATGTATTTTCCAGAAATATTTAACACATTTCGTCAAATATTTGCCTAGTGTGATCTTACCTTAAGTCTCTCACGCCTTTGCTTGATATGTTTTTAAATGTTTGCGCCAAACTCAGGTGGGCCCATCGTTGTAAAGTGACATTAATTTGGTTTCATTGTAAAATATACCTTCGTCCCAATATTCAGTCGGGTCTGAAACGAATAAAAACCTCTTGTATGTGATTTTTAATATAGTCTGTCCAATTGTTTTCGTGACAAACTTCAACGTCACACTCTTCCTCCAACTCCCTCGGAGGCGTCCTTGTGAAAATTTAAGGGGTTTTGCTTACTTTTTATAATAATTATGCACTCTTATTAATTTTGGGCTACGATCCACCTCCTCTCTTTAACTCCAATCTTTCCCCGTTTTTGGCTCGATTTAATATATGTTGTCTTTCGTGTAACGGAAATGAATAACGGAAATTATTGCCGACTATTCGATCAAACGTTTCCCTAACTGGGCGTTGTAATATATTAATACTGTTGAAACTCAGCCATATTTTTTTATTTTGCCAAAGAACAGTGTTTTTATTTTGTACTAGATTTTAATTTGGTTGACCCAAACTATAAGTGCAGCATACAATTATAATAAATATGAAAAATAATTTTCTATGTCTAAACTCATTCTTCACATACTGTGTTTTCTTTCATGTCCATGCAATACGCCAAGTTACCTGCCTTCCGTATCTTCCCACCATGGTGGCTGCACAAACCCAGCTAGCATTTGGAAGATCGTTTTTGAAAAAATCACCGTAGGGAGTCTTTAAAGAGTCCTTTGTTGATTAAAAACTGATTGACTCGCTTGAACGACCAAAAAGGGACTCTAAAATGACTCCTTCTTATGATTAAAAAGAGTTTTATTTTAATTACAACAACAAAATGTATAGCAGTCGCAAAACAATCATCAATGTGTGACATTTTGTTCCGTTATTTGTCATCATATTTTGATCATCTGGAGATTGAAAAAGGCTTAATCAAAAAAAGAACATGCGGATGTTTGAAAAGTGATTAGAATTGTATATTCTCTGATCACATTTTGCTCAGATGGGTGACTGTTTGTTTTGTTTTCTTCCAAGTAAAACAAGACATTTTTTGCATTTTCATTTTTGCTCATTTATAAATGTTTAGTGGAGGTGTTAATATCAATTTTTAGTGAAGTGAAACAAAAGTATTAAAAGGTGAGTTAATGGTATTGGAAAAATAATCAACTAAATTAATTAAACTAACGAAATTCATTATAATATATTTTCAGAAAGATTTTATTGCAAGAAACGATGGCGTGCTCAATTTCTTGGAGCTGCAGTTCGGAAGGTGTTCACAGATGGCTAAGCTACGCAAGACAGCTGAAGGGAACCTGATCTAAGGCTAGCGCAAAAAATTGTTTATAGCAACGGCAATCAAAAGTAAGTTCATTTTTCAAACATGTAAGGTTTTTATAAAGACGAAAAATATATATTTCCTTTCAGATATTTGTCGTCGGTAACGATAAAGAAGTGAACAGTATTCATCAACACAATTTTCTACATGCAGACGGGGTAAATTATTTGTATATGTATTATTAACAATATATTTGATATATTTAATTTTTTACTTATTTAGTTATACAAAATTAATTAATTTTTAATTATTAATATAAAATGAATAAATGAAATTATTTTTTTTAATGTTTGTAATAAATAAACATTAAAATCAAAACTTACTATATTTCTTTTTGTATTTTACGTTTATACGGACACCCGAATATAATCACGTACGTGATTTGTAAAATCGTAAACTCTCATATATGACTAATAAACGACTCGAATTTTAAGCATAAATGGATCAAAAAGGACTCCTGAATGAATATATGCATGAGTTATATACGACTACAAAAAGACTCATAAATGACACAATTAGGACTAGTAATAGATTTAAAAATTACTTAAAAAAGACTCGAAATAGTGTCACAAATTAATTAAAAATGGGTAAAAAGTGTTTAAAAAATGATTCGAAAAAGACCCTTAAAATTATTAGAAAAAAAGTTAAAAATTACTCGAATCTAATGCCGAGGAAGACTCATATGTGATTGACACAGAGGACTCGCGCCGGGTCGCACTTTTCTCCCGACGACTGAGTCAATTACGATCAGAAAATGCGCGCATATTCGAGCATTATAATCTTCCAGTAGTATTAAAAAAAAATCGAATATGATTAAAATTTTCGAAAAATTTTAGCTGGGAAGTTAATAAGTTCCCCTTTATCGCTTTGATTGTATTTTCACAACGTTCAATCTAGGGATAAGTAAATCGACTAATCGATTAATCGACTTTTTGTATTGAAAAGTCAAAAAGTCGAAGTCGACTTTTGATCTATGAGGAAATCGTAAAGTCGACTTTTCAAGATCGACTTTCGATTTTCTTCATAAATACTTGTTTTTTTATCACAAAGCTCAAATCGCCCAAAAATTTTACTTTCCGGAACTTTACATTATCCTTTAACAATAATTCATATAAATAATAAAATTTTTAGTCGATTTTGCAGAAGTCAGTAAAAGTCGAAAATCCATTTTGAATAGTTTTGACAAAATCGAAAGATCGAAAAGTCGACTTTTTAGTCAAAGCCAAAAATCGAAAAGTCTAAAAATCGACTTTTTGGTAAGAGGCAAAAATCTAAAAGTCTTAAAGTCGACTTTTGCGATCGACTACGTATCCCTAGTTCAATCAATCCAGCCAGGAACAGAGAGGAATATCAATTGCTCTAGTGGCAAACCTATTGGCAATTTTTTCTTTTTCATTTTGTTATTTCAGACTTAAAAACAGGATCATCACAGTTCATTAGTCCTGATTTATATTAGGCGAGTTTACTTGCGGCAATTTTTATCGTTGTCTTTGGAACTTGCTTCATGCGTCTATACAAGGCAATTCGGTTGCAAACATATATTTTCTGAATTGAATTATTTTTTTCTGAAATGACACTGCAAACAAAATACACAAAACGAATTGCCAGAGAATTGTCGGTACGAGCAATTTTTTTCCATTTCTATTCCCCTTGCCCCTCTCTCCAGCAAACAAAGACTTGCGGCAAGAAAACTTGCCTAATCTAAATTGAGAATTATTAGCCGCATCTACCTTTAGACCAAAAATACGAAATCAAAAATATGTTATATGAAAATATGGCAACATTTTTAATTTGATTTTTCTCATTCCGTTATTGGCTCGAACAATCAGCTGTTGTTGACGAATCAGCGAATAGCCATAACAACCAAAAACATATCTTATTACGAATGAAGACAAAAGCCAAAAGTGCCAAAACACATCTTATTACGAATGTGGGAAGTGGCATAACTGCCAAATTCCTGGTCTTGTAGGTTGTGATTTCCCTTGGTTGTTGAATTGTCCGTGTCCCGCGTCTGGATAAAGGTGCCACAATGAGTTATTTTCATGAGCCATCCGAAGAGGTGGACAACGATGCTGGTATGCTGCTAAATTTAAGTCAAAAGTCCAGTATATTTGTGGGTAAGTAATCTATTGTCTCCACCTGCAACAACACACTTCTAAATTCCATTTTCTTTCTTATCATAGCTGATCAGACCCCCACTCCGACAAGATTAATAAAAAATTGTGAAGAAGTGGGTCTATTCGATGATTTACGTAATGTTAATCCCTTTGAGGAAACATTTAGGCGGGCATGTGAACAAAATACCCAACATCCAAGATCGACAAATCATACATTTCATGCCGAGGAGGAGTCTTTGCATACGCCACAGGTGTTTCCACAATTTGATGTGGCCGTTGAGGGTGGTATTAGTGCGGGAGAGGATTTGAGTAAGCATACATTAAATACACCCGTAGTGCTAGATGTTGCCACAGTGGATAATATGCTGGAAACTCCGGTAGCAGCAAAATCTAGCAAACCAGATGATACTACATCATCCAGTGGTCACAAATATCGGGCCATTGCAGAGAAGCCTGCGACGAGCAGCAGCAGTAGTCCTCAAAATAATAATAATGGAGCATTAACATTTCTACCATCCGCCGTGCAATTTATACAACCCCAGATGATAACAGTTACCTTTCCCACAACCACTGCGGCAAATATAACTACCACGGAAGCTGACAACCAAATCAGCAAATCCAATAAAAAATCACATCCATTAATATTGCCTAAGTTAAATACTTCAACTGCTACCAAAGATTCAACGTCTTCATCGGTGGTTACTTCAACGACATCAACACCACATCCCGAGCCGAGTAGTGCTAGTTTGACCCCAACATCACAACTGCCGATAAAAGAACGTCTGAAGGCCATTTTGAATCAATCGAGTAAATCAAAACCACCCGAATGGCCTAGTAATAAATGTTCTTCAACAATTACCCAACAGCGGACAGCGTCATCGTCTACATCATCTAATCGTAAACTTTCATACAAAGATGATACCATGGAGCGAAGGCGTGCGGCATCTACGCGCTACCGCCAGAAAATGAAGAAGCGTAACGCAGATCTACAAATGGAAAATGAAAAACTAAAACAAAGGGTGAAACAGTTAGAAGCACAGGTGGCGAAACTACAATCGACTGTTCTACAACCACTACAGGGTATGTTCCACATTTAATCCAAATGTTCAAAACATTGTACTAACAAATTTTCTTTGATTACTGTTGTTTTGTTTTTTAGCTCCAACAACTACCACAGATCTTGGTATTCCTGCTCAAATACAAATTCCTGCCTCTACCATACATTTGGTAATGAACATCCCTAAATTAGTGGTGCCTTATGGTAGCAATATTAGCAATACTCAAACAATTTTAAATAATCCTATTACTTATCGTATTGATAAAAATTAAACTACTAAGCTGGCTTAGTTGTTATATAAAATATATTATATCGAAGTGCCTTGTACAGTTTTTAAAATTTGTAAAAAAATATGTAGTTAGAATATATTTATTAAAGAAAATAAAAACAAATTGTTTAACTAATAAAGTTTATTAGTTTGAAAGGGTATGTGTTGCAGATGTCGGTAGATTTCGTATTTTCAGACAATCGTTCGACTATGTATTTTAAATTAATACGATTTGAAATATTGTATTAATGCATATGAATAAAAAAGCAAACAATTTTCTGTTTGTAACAATAACAATTTTGTATAAGTGCTGTTAACAGGGGAATTAGCTACTGTTCAACTCGTTTCAGAATGGGGACTTTTATTCGCAGCGATAAGTAATCTCAACCTTTAAATAATAAAAAATTTTTTTACTTAAGATTTTTATTTATTTCGATAAAATGCTTTATATTTAAAATACCACTCTTAGATTCAATAGATAAGAAGAAATATTGGCAGTTTGGTGTATCATTCACAAAAAATCGGACGAAACTATATATGGGAGCTATATCTAAATGTGAACCGATTTTCTACAATTTCAATAGGGCCAAATAAGTGAACTGTGTCAAATTTCATTCAAATCGGATCATAAATGCGACCTGTACTTTGTTCATAAAAATACATGGACGGATGGACGGACGGACATGGGTGAATTGACTCAGAAAGTGATTCTATGCATGTTCTCAAAAGGAACCATGGGTCTATCCGGATTCTTTTGCCTGTTACAAACATTTGAAAAAAGACATAATACCCTGTACCAGAGTGTGGTGAAGGGTATAATGAAAGAAGGATGTTTCAGTTTGACAATAAATTTCAAATACACACCAAAACAAGGATCCCCAAGGATCCAATTGAGCCTTTTATTGATTGTATACCTCGTAGGTATTGGTTGGTGGTCGATTATAAGAAACATTTGCTTATTTATAAGAAAGAAATCAAAAATTTGCTTTAGTATTTACCATCCAAAAATTGGTTCATTATTTTTTAATGAATAAATTACCTATTTATTTCCGAAAAAACTTTCACTATTACTTTATTTTCAAAAACATTCCAGGTCATTTATTCAGTTTGCAATTTCAGTGGCTTTAGTTTTGGTCATTAGTGTGGAAAAGTTTGATCGAATTGTCGGAAATTTTTTCAGTTTTTATACTTATCAAGAGCAGCAGGCAAAACCGCCTATCTGCAGCAGATATAGACAAGAAGTTTTCATTCGCCAATATAAACATTTCACGCCCGAATGCATATTGGGACGACATTATATTTTGCGATGAAACCAATATG